ATTTATCAAGCTGATTAGGCTTGGTTAGGCTGGAACCACTGGCATGACTTCACGCCTCCGTAGCTGAAGCAAACTATTTGCTATCAATGTAATTTTGGTTTAATCAACTAAGTCGATAATGGAAAATGGCCACCGTAAAGAGTGTCAAAGCTATCAGATTTCAATTTGCCATCAGATGATTTACAGAGGCTCATCCCACCTACATCATACTTGTATCTTTATAGGTGAACTCAGAATATACTTTTAACTAAAAAATTAGACAGCGGTGAATTATGTTGATAAGTACATGTATCATCATGATAACATGTAATGCTCAGCTTCAAAGAATGCTTTTTTTTCGAAGGGGGGAGGGGAGGGAAGAAATTGACAATTAAAAAAAATCATATGCGTTACGTTACCTTCATTATTTCTGGAACAGATTGTACATCCATTTCGTCAAAATTTAAGTCACTGGAATCTTCCAGAGCCTCGTATGACTTTCCAAATTTCACCCATTTTTCTATTTTTGCCTTGTTTTGTTGAAGCGTACCTCTGTTGCATCTGAGAGCCTCGTTCTCAATGAGACTAAAGGCGGAACTAAGTGCAGCAATAGGATCTTTTCCTTTAAGAGCACCCACGAAGCCTGTCACTCCCTGGAGCATTGCGAAGAAATGCTGCATATTTTTTTGAGCTTGTAAATCAACCAGCGTGGCCTTGAGCGTTTCTATAGTGCTGGTCATGCGTTTTTCTACCTGAGCGATGGACTAAACGGGTAAATGTCATAGTAAGCTGAGGTAAGGAAGACTTATTTGAGAATGCTTTCAAGTGTCATTTGAAATCACCCCCAAAAACTTGAACGATGAACATTGAATCAATAAATGTAGGAAAAATAGAATCAATCAACTGAACAAGAATTAACTGGTCGATTAATTAATTGATCGATTGACTCACTGATCGATAAATTGAATGAATGAATAAAGAAAAGAACGCGCGAATGAGGGAGAAAATAAATGAAACGGATTCATTTAATAAAAATTTAAAAAATACATCGATGGAAGAATAAATGCGTAAATGGATGGATGAATAGATGGATGTATGAATGGATGGAGAAATGAATAAATAAATGAATGAATTAAAAAATGTGCAAATGAATGAAGGTAGGAATAGGTAGATCAAGAATGTCAGTTTCATGAAAGAAATACTGATAGTAAAGATGGAAAAAGGTGATGACGTAATTCTAGAATATATCTGAAAAAAAATCTGTTTCATCTTAAGCAACAAGTACCTGCAAAACGCTATGTTCATGTTTCCACGGTCAAAAACCAAAAATCCCACGATGTAGTTTTTTAAAACTTCAGTTTCACAAACCATTACATTACCTCTACGTAAAGCCTCTTTTGGCTTTCATCGACTGCCCTTGCTGCTTTTAGCCGTTTTACTTGATTGCGGACCTGTATTCTGGCTGCCTTAGGTGCTAAGTCCTTCAGTATGTCTGTAATATCCTCTTGTTGTTTAATTGAACTTTGAATCCTGTTAAAAGCGTCTTGGTATTCCTTAGCGTATTTTTCGATGGCTTCTGCGTTCTCCTTTAGGCGTTCCCATTTCATCAGCGGGGCAAACAATTTATTATTTCCAAATCTGTCGAATCCTTCTTTGTCTAGAAAACCTAGCCTTCGTTTTGCGTCTACAGATTTATAAGAAACAACAGTAACGTATTATGATATTTGTTTTCCTTAGCTGACGTACCTAAGAGAAAGCCGTGGCGGGTCAATTCCCCCGAGGCTAGTAAGGAGAGAGACCCCTGGAACGAGATCGTGACGTCAGAAAGCAGTTGGAAAATTTAAGATAGAATTCGTAGCTCCGAAGAAAAAACTTACCTTTTCTCATGGCTTGTATACCGTTTCTTCCTTTCATTAAAGTAATTAAGAACTTCAACACACTCTTGCCTTCTTGGGTATCATTTGCCCAAATGCGATCCTCGGCATATCTTTTCATCAACTTCAACAATGCTAGGGGGTATTTGCTCCTTGCATTTTCAGAGAGGCGGGATGTACGAAGGTAAGTATCATCTATTTGACCGTCGGCGCCNAATATGAAAACCAGCAGCAGAGTTGGCAGATTGGCAATTTTAGGTCAGCTTGAGCAAGTGATCCCATTCATCGGGAAGAACATCGAGGATGAAAGTGAAACTGGAAAGTTTTCTCATTTGGTCATATTATACTAATTCGGTTTTTTGAAATCATTTGCCTGCCAATCATTTCATTACGTGATTATCATTCCTATTTTCATGGGCATACAAACAAGCTTTCTTACTCTCGATTTTGAGCGAAAAAATCTATCTTTTGCAAAGAAAAGCAATAAGGCCTGCCCGAAAGGGCCATCCCAAGGTGGCTCATGTATACTCAACTTGTTCCGTCCTTTCCTTTAGGTCCTCTTGCTCCTCTGCTTGCTCTACCTGTAGCACCTTCATTTCTACACGAGGTGTGGCACGAGGGACTCAAAGGAGCCCATGGATTGCTCACACATGTCTCTCTCATTGCACATCTAAACCCTGTCCCTCCTAAACTTCCGAGACCCCCTAGGGAGAAAAAAAAGAAGCTATGGTGGAGTCGTGGATATAATTTGCAGAATATTATTAGAAAATACAGCGATTGGGCTAAAATATATATATTATCTCAGGCAGAGAGACCACTACACCTTTAGCCAATTACAGTGGATCCTGCGTTAACAATGACAAGGCCAGACCCCTCTCCCCCAATTTCTAGTAAACAGGCCGGACCACATCGCAATAATGTCGTGAGTGAGTTCTTTAACGTCCCTTTCCTAACCAAATTAACTAATTACTAGAAGCAGGAGACGGGACCTAGGCTTTATTCGTCCTTATCCGAGAAGACTAGAAGCCAAAAATCCTGTGAATTCAAGAAAGAGAATAGATCCTCCAGACCCCAGTTGATCTGCCATATTTTGCAATCGGTTCTCCACCCTAAATAAGTTGCATGCTCTGCCCCAGACTCCTAAGGTTACGAAAGCTGTATATCGATTGCCCGGATTGCTCGTTCCATTGCTTCACATATCCACAGTTGACAAGAAATAAAGGAAGTTAGAAGTTCTCTGTCACGAGGTGGCACTGATAGAAAACGTCCAAGTTCCCCTCAAGGAATCAAATCCCGGACCATCATAAGGGAACTATTAGTTGAAAATCAAGCTGGCGTTTTACTGGATCCACGTGTAAAAAAACTCCATGGATCAGCCGTGTGAAAAGAGTCGAGCGCGTAAATAGATAAGGAAGGAGTATTGTTAATCTTTAGCATCATGGTCAAAAAAGGAAGAGCCTTATTGACTATCATAAAGCCAAGGAGAAAGGATCACTTTTTTTTAAGGATAAATGAAAAAGAAAACAACGGCAAGAAGAAAAACAAACCAGTGCTGAAGAGAAATAGAAATTAACAAACAAAGCTTTTAAACCCAAATAAAAGGAATATTTGTTTTTCATTGGAAGCCTTATGCACCTAAATGGACGGATTTTGTTCCTCTTACGGGTCAGGGTTAAACTTCCACCGATACACTCCTTCGCCTGATTTTCTTCTCTATATTGGTGTCCCTCCCCCAGCCCCTAAATCTGATCCTCCTCTATGGTAAGTACGTTAAGTCACAACCCAAACGTAATCCGCGTCCCAATGCCTTAATCCATACCTATTCCTCCCTTTCCATTTATAGGTGCTGCACCTCCCTGGCCAGGGCATGTTTTTAGCTTGATACTTCCAATTACTTCGTTCATATATATTCTTTGTTTTCCAGCTTGGCCACCGTCTCCTGTTTATTTATAGAAGTAATTAGAGTAAATAACCATTGTTATAAAGCAGGAAAATTTTTCTCACTAGTATGCACTCTCATTGGCTGATTTGAGTCACATGACATTCCAAAAATGAAACTGTTTCTAGTTCAAAGACTCTTAGAGAGCAACATTGCAAAATATTTGACGCTAGAGGATAACAGTGCAAAGTCACCTGGGAGTATAAAATAAGTATTCGAGTGGACGAAACGTACATGCATGTTTTCATATTTTTTTCTATGGAGTTAACGCGTCTCAAGTCTTGACTCAGGCGTCACGAAAGTACACCTGATTTAAAATGTGCCTTACCTGATGTTCCTGCATTTCCACCATCTTTGCCGGGATTTCCTTCATCTCCTGTCCATCCAGGGACTGTTCTGCAGCGGTTAGCCTTACACTGAGCAAATGTCCGGGGTGGTTTCTACAAATAATCGTAATTAAACACAGCCATGTCACCTCCAGTATATGATGTGGCTATTTCAGGGCTTAGATGCCATCTTGAACTGGCTGACCTCTCGCCCCGATTGCATGCGAGAGCTTTAAATCTTGCGTGGTATTTTTCGCTTTGGTCTGGATGCCATTCGAAGATGAATTAATGAGTTGCAACCATTTGATCAAACAAAATGAGTTACTACAATTAGAATTGTGGACCTCGCCACCATTCGATGTTTTTAAGATCAATTATACACTGGATTTTGTTATACCGAGACAAAAATATCCATACCAAAGCGAAATCACTCGTACTTTACCTATCAATGATTACTCTCAGCTAAACAGTTATTACTCTTACATAACCATACCCCGTCAATCCGGTCAACTCCGTTTTTGCCATCAGCACCTTTTTGTCCTTGATTTCCGTTTCCACCATTGTTTGTAATATACATGTGGCCTTCTGATAGTTGGGTGTACACTTCCACTTTGAAACAGACCAAAACAGTGTAAAGGTTCAGTCCAAGATCTCGCGTGTTGTTTTTTTCGTTGAGTAAAATAATGATAACNGCACGTTATTGGTGGGAACATGGCAACGAGAAAAACAAGAATAAATTAGTGGAATGAAAAGCGTTCGTTGATCCCTGAGGGATTTAGACTGCCGGTTTGAAAGATGAGCTTTTTTTCAAGATTTTTACGGCTTTCCGTGCTACCTAAGAGTAAGGAAAGACCGCAGATTGCCATATGTTGCTTAGAATGATTAGGCAATCCCACAGGGATTAACGAACGCTTTTCATTCCACTAATTTATTCTTGTTTTTCTCGTTGCCATGTTCCCACCAATAACGTAGCTCCATTCTCTGCCTTTAAAAGCACAGACAACCCACAATTCCTCTATTTGCTCCGACGAAGGGCTAACGCTCGAAACGTCAGCTTTTATAATCGTTACGGTGGCCAATTCACCACTTGAACTTTGTTGATATATCCAAATTATTTCGTTACTCCCACCGACGCAGCCCCAAACAGTTTCTTTCGAAACTATCAGCCTTTGTTGACCGCTTAGCCCGCTCAGCCAATCTTACCGATCCACAATTTCCGACAACGTTATAGTTGACAAGTAGCATCCACGTAACAACGTTTAGTGGATTATTTAGAAATAAGGGTTTAGAATGAACTGCAGCCAGTTCTCGACAATATTTTACATTACCCTGTATAGTTTTAGATATGCTTTTACCTATGAGATTATTAGACTTTGAATCTGTTCAGATTTGACTCCGTTATTTATAGTTTTTCCAGACGCTTTAACATTAAAAAAAACTAGTAGATGTGAGCCAAAAGTGAGTTATTTTGGATCGTTTTTTACGCTGTTAATATTTTGTATTATAGAGGATTTTATGGAAAGATTACCCAATCAATGTTGTATGATCACAGAGAACAAAATGCAACATTGTACTGCAGGAGAGGAGATAAAAGGGAGGGAATTAGGGATGAAATTAGCAGGCTACTTCAGATTCATATGAATGAGCTAATAATGTAAGACAAATGATATAATCTGATTGGCTACGCTGCTTGCTATCTATTCCATGATAGTCTGTGTTTAAAATGAATAACTTTACACAGTGTGGTTGTGTAAAAAATACAATGAAAATATGTGATGGTTTTCTTGTTAAGTTTTAAAATTCAAACTAAAACATTCATATAAATCTCTCTCGATTTCTTTGAGCGACACAGTTCTTTAACTCATAATATGGTGGTTAAATATTGCAATTTCAGTGGTAACGTGTTGAAAATTTTGTCCCTAGTTGTTGTTACCAACGTCGTTTAGGAGATTTCAATAGAAGGTCAAAAGTAAAGCTGACTTGCTTTTGTTTTGCTTAATCCTCTTTGTGATTAATCTAGAAATTTGGCCAGTGTAACCAATCGGGCGCAAAACAAGCAATTTGCCTTTTTCTGCTCAGACTCTCATTGGCTATATTGAAGATGCTGATCTTTGCTCTGACCAGCTGTCATGATTAATTTGGTTGTAGTTTTTTTTCGACAATCAATCAGCAATTACTTTAATGGGTTTGGACAAGTGCATTAGAATACTCTATTTCTCTTTACTTCGTACCTTTAGGACCTGCTACTCCACTCTGGCCCGGTACCCCAGGAGTGCCAGGAGCCAATGGAAAACTAGTATCAAATGGCGGACTCAAAGTTGGCGCTCTGACATCCAGCTGACTGTCTTTCCCGGAGACAACTTTGCGGCTATAAACTGTGAGTTTTTTAATTCCACGCATTCTGATCAGGCCCTAACAAAAGGCATTGATTCAAATTTGTTTTTGAGATTCCTGTTCATAAGAGGGTCCAGGTTTGCAAAGAAACTTTAAGGCTGCGTCAGTAGAGGCCGCATTACAAGATGATTTGGTTTTATCAACTGAGTTGATAAGTCCATAAGTCGTAATAAAGTGATCATTAACTCTACATACAATAAATCGTTAACTATTGGACTCAAACCCTTTCTGCATGTTGCTGAAAATGAATAATTCTTGCATGAACGTTCCACTATTCATACTATTCTTTATACACACCTCGATGTACACAGTATCGGCCAGGACCTCAAGCTGAATACGGTTTGGCTTTCTCTGGACGTTTCCAAACTTCATGTTCTCTTTGGCAGCAAGATATTCTCGTACATAGTTCATATGTACAACTCGTCCGATAACCTGGTATTCACCTGTTCGAGTTTGGAGGGTCGTGAAATTAATCGACAAGGGGATAGAACTAAGTGAATTAAAGTGAAATATTTTTAATAAAAATAAACCAAAGAAAACAAACCACTTCATTTTAATAGTAGTTCTATTTCTAATGATTCCTTTGCGTCAATTTCTATGAAAGCAAAGTTTCATGCGGCCAGTTTGATTGGTTCTTACTTGTATTATAATTTAATCTTTCCGCCCCTCTCTCGCGCCACGGGGGCGGGAAGATGAGAGACCCTGGGAACTAAGTTGATGAGGAGATGACGTCAGCATAACAGTGTTTTGGTTTTTTATCATATAAGACAAATAAACTGAATGTTGCCTTGGTGTTGTAAGCAGTAGATCACAGATGACGTCAGAACGTTGGAAGAACGTCAGTGACACACTCGGTGGCGCGTCACGTGGCACTTTTTTGTTCTTCTTACGTTTGACGTCATCTGTGATCTATTGCTAAATAGACGCACGGTAACATGGAATATATTTGTTCCAGCAAGGGAAGTGACATTACGTTTTCCTTTAGAAACAATAGCCGGTGTCTCAGTCCATTTCATCTTGGGGATGGTGATACTTTCACTGTAGGACTCATCTCCTTTTCTGACAGTCTTGCATCCACGATCTAAAAATATGATAGATGTAAACCGAAGAACTTCCCTATGTGTTTCACGACAACAATAGTATTAACTAACTGATTAAGATATTGTAATAAGTTTGTGCAGGAGCCCATTACCCGGAGCTTCCATCTCAGTTGTACCCTTGAGTCAACTCTGTCCCGTATCGTGTTATTTTTAAAACTGAGATATCTGCGGGGGTTCTTTAATCTTTCCGCGCTTTCCGCCATTATTGAAATAATTTCGGGCGGCCTGCAAGTCACACAATAGAGACGTAACATAACAGAGACGTAACACAATAGAGACGACAGCTCTCTTATGATTGGCTATTATAAAAACACCCGCGAAAAAAGCCGTGGGAGGTGCTTCTAAAAATAGAAAGATACGGGACAGGGTTGGCTCACAGGGTCAGTGTGGAAGATGGAAGCTCTGGGTAATGGGCTCCCGGCTTGTGTAAATGAAGCTATTTTGTTCATTCTTTTACTGCCAAAATCTCACTAGAAATTCTCCCTCCTGTCTTCCATAAAATTCTTATGATGTTAGTACGAAACATTTCTTTCACTCTCATTTCTTGTTTGCTTGATATTGTCTTAATATTGTGAGGGGAGATCCTCTTAGGAGTGAGGGAGTTAAGAGACACAGTGTATTATTCAAAACCTTCTAAATAAACTCTTATTAGATGCAGCCGTCCTTATTTGACGAGCGAATTCGCAAGTTGCCAATTTTCTTTATTTGTTTACACCCAAGACGCTTTCAGCATCGCCTATCCTCTCAGTTTGTAGGACTTTTGTCAAATTTGAACCTCTTTATATATATCAGGCACTTGGACATAAAACCTGAAGGTACGTATCAAGAATAAACCATCCTGGGAAACTCGGAATTTTTTCTCATGCCACTCTCACAATAAGTCGAAGGAGGACGTTTTATTTTCGTCTTGTCACAACCGTGGGACATCATGTGGCGAAGAGTAGCCTAACATTTGATATTCCTCCTCCGAGATGATAGCTTTTTTCATCCTTTTTTTGAACAAATTGATTTTGGCAACTTTCTATAAACTATAACTTCGGTAGGATATTGAAACGCTTGCCTTTTACTAGGGGGAGGGGAATGATCTTAATGGAACCATTTAATTTATTTTATTGCCTCAGCAACCATCACCCTACAGTTCGACTCCTCTCGTGATAGTATGGTAGTTTTGACATATTTTATTGCAAATGCCAAGGTACGTCCCCTCAATTTTTTTGTAACAGCTAACACCCATCTTCGCAACGTCAAGGCTTGCAAATGGTACGTTTGTTCTTTGAAAACTCTTGAGAGAGAGGAAGTAACAATTGAGTCAATTTTCTGCTTTTTCCTAACTTTACTACCTACCTTTTTAAGAAAAGAGACAAAACAAAATGGTCGATATTTATCATTGAAGTAAATTTAAAATGTACTCTCATATCAAGAACAAACATAATTTTTTCGTCAAAAACAAATAACATGGTGCTGCAATATCAGTTTTGCTATAACCGGTCTTCACCTCTTTGTTTCTCTTTTCAATAAATTTGAGTTAAGGACTTTGTCAGTGCTTGGCTGAGTGATAAACTTACTTGTAAAGTAAATTCTTGAATTCAATTGTTTTTGCAGCTTTCTCTTGCAAGCCATCCTGTCTTCTTTTAGATTTCATTCATAATTCAAAAGCAACTTTGGTCAAAATATTGATCCACACTTTCCTCAGTTAACCGCTCCTCAAAACTAAGGCATAGATTTGATTTCCTTTTATTTGACCCAACATCAAACAGTAACCTTTAACTCATTGAGAAATAAATAGTATAATGTCTCCCTTGTATACGGCAATCTTGATTGTTAGACATGTCTGAAAAGTAGGGGACTGATACCACTTACCTGCTCCTATAACCATGTCCAAGGCTGAGAGGAAAAAACATTTTAACACAATAACCCAATAGTTCATCGTGTAAGAAAAAAATTACTTCTCCTTTCCAAAAAATCTTCCTCTGACGCTGAGGTGCTCCACGGAACAATGATGAGCAGTAATTGAATGTTTCTCAGCTGTATTTGTACGTTTAATGAGGTAAAATATAAGGTGAC